AGTTGTACAGTATGTGGAAGACGGTTTGTTACAAAAAGTGTCTTAAAAGCACATCAAAGTATACACACTGGGGAAAAATTTTTATAGTTGTGGAGTATGTGAAAAACAGTTTATAACAAGCAGTTCATTAACAATACATAAAAGAACACACACTGGTGAGAAACCTTACAGTTGTGGAGTTTGTGCAAAACAGTTTAAAACAAATAGTGCATTAAAAACACATCAAAGAATACACACTGGTGATAAACCTTACAGTTGCACAGTGTGTGGAAAACAGTTTATAACAAATGGTAATTTAAAATGCCATCAAAGAATACACACTGGTGAGAAACCTTATAGTTGTGCAAGTTGTGAGAAACAGTTTCGAACAAACAGTGAATTAAAAAGACATCAAAGAATTCACACTGGTGAGAAACCTTACAGTTGTTTGACTTGTAAGAAACAGTTTGGTACAAATAGTGATTTGAAAAAACATCAAAGAAGACACACTGGTGAGAAACCTTACAATTGTACAGTGTGTGGAAAACAATTTGGAACAAATAGTGAATTAAAAACACATGAAAGAAGACACACTGGGGAAAGACCTTATAGTTGTACATATTGTGAAAAACAGTTTGGAACAAACAGTGAATTAAAAACACATCAAAGAAGACATACTGGGGAAAAACCTTACAGTTGTGGAGTTTGTGGAAAACAGTTTGGAATAAAGGGTGAATTAAAAATGCATGAAAGAATTCACACAGGTGAGAAACCTTACAGTTGTACATATTGTGAAAAACGGTTTGGAACCAAAAGTGAATTAAAAACACATCAAAGAATACACACTGGGGAGAAACCTTACAGTTGCACAGTGTGTGGAAAACAATTTATAACCAATGGTAGCTTAAAATATCATCAAAGAACACACACTGGTGAGAAACCTTACAGTTGTGCAAGTTGTGAAAAACAGTTTGTGACAAACAGTGAATTAAAAACACATCAAAGAAGACACACTGGGGAAAAACCTTACAGTTGTGGAGTTTGTGGAAAACAGTTTGGAACAAACAGTGAATTAAAAATACATCAAAGAATTCACACTGGTGAGAAACCTTACAGTTGTACATATTGTGAAAAACAATTTGGAAGAAAAAGTGACTTAAAAACACATCAAAGAATACATA